ACTCAAGGCTTATGGCAGGGGTGTCCAAACTTTTTGCAAAGAAGGCCAAATTTGATAAAGTGAAGATGCCCGGGGGCCAATAGTTCCTTCCGACATTTTTTTACCACAAAAGTTACGTGAAAACACACACTGTTATAAAACAATTTTCATTGTCACAATTACCTTTACTTTTCAAATGACAATGTAACCAAATATAAGTCACTCAGGCAGACGTGAACAACTCTAAAAACACAATTCTGCCTTTCATTCAGTCAGATAACATTGAACACACTGTATAGAATACCTTAAATTTCCATGAGTTAAATAGCTTTACCTCATGAACATTTTAAACAGGAGTTATACGTAATGCAAAGTGGTCTGTTATCATTAAACTTTTAAATGAGTGAATTTTGCCCTTGCCTTTTACAAGATCTTTCAGAAAGCAATAGTTTGTGTCACATCTACAGGTACATAACATCAACAGTTATAACCAAATCTTATTCAAATAGTTTAATGAAACAAGTGCCATAAGTCCAAGTGCATTAGTGTGCTTTAGGCTTTTCACTGTTAATAGTGACAGATGTTACCGTTCAAAACACTCAATTTCAGATTGATCAAGGAACAGATAACTTGCTGATACTAATGAGAAGGGTGATACTGAGATATAGATTTCAGTAAAGAGACCAGGTCTGGCTTAAGGGCAGTGGTTGAGATGCGTAAAATGCCACGCAAGTGGGAGTCACTCATCCTTGACCTCAATCGGTTCTTATTTAAGTTCATGACTGAGAATGTTTGCTCACACAAATATGTGGAGCCGAATAAGCTCAGCATTTTCTTAGCGAATGACCGCTTTTCTGGAAACCTGCTTTTGTCCAGCTGCCGGTAAAAGTCAACAAGATAACACTGCTGGTGTTTTCCGCGGCACTCATCGTCACACTGCAGCTCAATGAGCTCCAGCTGCAGCTGTGGAGGAGCATCTTTAGGGTCCACGGAGAAGGGAGAAGAGACAAGCAACATGTCCTTTTCAATAACTGCAATGTCCCGAAAGCGTTTGTTAAATTCCACAGAAAGAGATGCGATAGCTGTTGCATAACTCTTCATTTGCGCACCGATGTTGTCCTGTGGGAAACTGTCAATGACCTCTTTCAAAGCTGGGAAGTGTGCAGTGCAGGGCTCTGTTTGGGACAAGTGTCTTTGGAAAAGTTGCAGTTTGGTTCCACCACTGCATCTTTTCCTTGAAGATTAACATTCAGCGCATTCAGATGCTTCGTTATGTCAACCAAAAAAGCCAGATTTGCCAACAATACGGGACAGACAGTTCTTCCATTGGTTGTCCCTTCTCACCCAAAAAATGTCCAATTTCTCTTTGAGAGAGAAAAATTGCTGCAGTGCGGACCCCCGACTTAGCCACCTCACATCGTTGTGATATATTACGTCACCGTATTCAGCCTGGATGTCACGCAAGAACTGCTGAAACTGTCAGTGGTATAGAGCTTTAGAGCGAATATAATTGATTGCCTTTGCCACTGGTTTCATAACATCGTCAAATTTGAGATGTTTGGCGCAGAGAGCCTGCTGGTGAATGATACAGTGAAGTTTAAAAGCGTTGCCTGCTTCTTTGCTGACTTTATTGCAGATCAGTGTGGACAATCCACTTCGCTCACTAGCCATGGCAAGTGCACCATCGGTAATGATCCCAGAAACTTTACTCCATGGTAGTTTCATATCCACAGCTTCACAAACAAAAACGAAAAAATCTGTTCCTCTGGTTTGCCCATTAAGGCTTTTGAGGTCAAGCAGCTCCTCTGTCACGTTCATGTTGTCATCAACTCCTCTTTAAAAAATAAGTAGTTGTGCAGTGTCAGATGCATCGGTGCTTTCATCGCAGGCTAATGAGAAATAATCAAAAGCCACTCCCCTGTCCCCCAGTTGTCTCTGAATATCTGACGATATGTCCTCAACTCTCCGTGCCACAGTGTTGCGTGCCAGGCAAACATTCATAAATTCTTGCTTCTTCTCGGGGAAAATGTTCTCCACCATTTTCATGACACAGTCTTTGATAAATGCACCTTCAGTAAAAGGTTTGCCATGTTTAGCTATTAACATGGCCACTTCGTAGCTGGCTTTGGTGATGTTTTCCTTTGACTCACAGGCCCGCGTGAAGAATCGCTGTTGCGATGCCAGAGCAGCACGGAGTTGCTTCACTTTTTCAGCGCGGTCACTCCCTGTTAGCTTGTCGTATGTTGTAGCATGTTTAGTTTTGTAGTGTCTCTTTATGTTGAAATCCTTAAACAAGGCATCCGTCTCTTTACAAATTAGACAAACACAATTGCCTCGATTTCCAGTGAAGATGTATTGTAATTCCCACCGCTCCTGAAAGCGGCGGCCCTCACTGTCAATTTTTCTCTTTTTTTTTGCAGTCGCCATAGCAGAAATAATTCGAGAAGGGTTCGCGGCACGTATGCAAAGCCAGAGAGCATTAGAATGGTGCTGCCACCGTGTGGCGGAAGGAGAAAGTTTTATGATTTATTTATTCTGACAGAGATAGCGAGCCATAAATAACACATTATAAGACCGAAGCTGCGGGCCGTATGAAATCTGACCGCGGACCGTAATTGGTCCGCGGGCCGGACTTTGGACATGCCTGGCTTATGGGATCATATTTTTTTACTGGAAAATGAGGTTCCAATGGTGTAAATGCTTACCCGAGCTCTCATACTCTGATGGTGCATTGTCTTTGAGTTGTGAGCCTTTTGGCCTCATCTGGTCCAACACCATGTGAGACTAGGCTCTAAGGAAAGCTCTCTCGGGTGTGGACCAATCAACTTCAAGGACAGTGCATACATTATCAGTTATGTTTTTTGTTTGTATTATGACTGCAGGTATTGTGGTCTATGCAAACATGACTCCTTGTAAAAAAAAGGTGTCAGTTTTGTTGCCAGATAAAAGGGTAAAAAACCAATTATCATATTTTTTACTGACAAATGAGGTTCCAATGGTGATGATGATGTTAGGGGAAAGGGGGCTTGGTTTCAGGGATGAGGGGATGTCGTATCCTCAGACCTGGGAAACACGGGAAGAAAGATGGCATCGAGAGTTGACTGCTTCACCTCATCAACGGACTCCTTAATGTTTGTGATGCAGTTTGCAATATTCTAAACATTGCGTCGTGTTGAATCACTTTAAATGGCGTCAAAGATGCCTGCAAAAGTGCGCCGTATATATAAAAAAAATATTTACCAATATATAGTGTTACTTAACCAATGGGTAAATTACAGCAGAATGTTATCTAAGCAGGCAAACTTTATACCGATTTTGAATTTAAGCGTTTAATCAGTCTCGTCACTGGCTCTGAGATGTATTGGTTTTGTAGACATTGTGTGTGCCAAGGTCACGTCTCTATACGATGGGTGACCTCGTGTGGCCCCCAGGCTGTGGCATTCACTTCCACGGGACGTTCACTCTGCTGACTCCTCCCCTCGTTTGATTAAATTCGCGCCCTAAGAAGCAACTTAATTTTAAGGGCGTTTTCTACTTATTGCATCCTTTGTTTTGGGGTTGGATTGTATTGGTATGAGCCTGGGTGTGTGGTTGTGCAACGCCTTGTAATCTCGGCTTGAAAGACGCTTTAGAAGTGGAAATTATGAATATCATTGTCTGCACTTATTTGTGTACATTGCATTACAATTTGCCTTATCGTCTATTGTAATAGAACAGTTTTATGGGATAGGATATATCCATTGTGACGCGATTAAATACGGCACAATCCTCTTCAATCCGGGATGATTATGGTGAGAACCGTTCTGGTAATGGCAATCGTGCGACAGAGGCAGACAACCTCACCCAGCACTTCACTCTTGAGTGCATCGCTCACACATTGTTGGCAGGTTCAGTTATAATGGCTGTAATCCAAGTTGTCTTGTGGTTTTTATTGTTGTTTGACTTGCATCCCACTGGGATTTTTACACAGCGTTGGTGTAAGGTGCTTTTTTCTGGAAGACTTTGCAGTTTTTTTCTGTTTGCGCATAGTCACTTTAAGATGTTTTTTTGTTCGTGTTTTTGTTTTTTGTTTGTTGCCGAATGGCTCACAGGGCTATACCAAATAAATGAAACTGAAAAAACTGAAACTGAAACATTCACACCAGATCCATCTTTCTTCATTGCCAAGTCTCATGCAGTGGACCAATTAGTTTCAAAGACAATGCATATATTACCAGACCATGTTTTCTGTTTGCATGTTCACCACAAGTATATATGATTAATGCAGACATGATTCCTTGCAAAATGTATGTTTGGTGTTTTAACATCGTAACACCTTCTTTATTTCGATAAATGGTAAAACATTTATAATATTTTGATACTGACAAGGTCCCACGATACCAATGCATTATAAGAGAACAGACTGTGCATGTGCGATGAGAGGCAAATGGGTCGGTAGCTCTTTACATATAACCGAATCCCACTCATCGAATGCAAGAAAGGTTGAAGCACGTTTAAAATCTTACTTAACTGTAGGTATCTGCAGATTGTCCTGTGTCACTCCACAGACCGTGTTTATGCTTCTTAAGATTTAGTATAAATGCCAAAGGCTCTAACAGCAATGTATATAGCTGCTCAACCCGAGTTATTATTAATTGCGTTGATATTTGCATCGCCTTTGAGCTGTTCGACTTCCGGCATTGTCGTCTAGTGTAACGCTGGTGTAGAGACAGGGAAATACAGCAGGAGGGTGTAGCTCTGTTGTAGGCCAATCAGTTACAAAGACAATGCATGCATTACTTTTATTATAATTATTTTCAAAGCACGTTGGTTTGCATGTTCTTCCACAAGCACGATGTGTGGTGCATGCAGCGTTGATGATGCCTTGCGATACTAGCTGTGTCTACTTGGTGTTTGAACATCTTAACACCCGTTTTGTCTGATCATTGATTAAGCATTGCCGGTAAGGGTACAAAACAAGCATTTTCTTATTTCATCACCCAGAACTAAAGGGCTATATATCGAAGCCACCTCATTGAGAGTTAGGTCCCGGCGATTGTCTTCAGATCCTCAGTGGACCCAACCTGGCCCTGGGGCAGTGCCACGGGGGAGAATCTCCACGTCCGAACCTGCGACAGCTCCACCTTGTCGTAGGTATTCTGCCGATGGCAGCGCAGCTTCTCGAGCCGAGCGTAATGGAGAGAGGCATCCTCAAGAGAGGTCGTCCTATTTGGGTGCTAGATCGCGTAAACATATAGAACATGTATCAGTAAACCACCACCACCGAAAAAACTAAAACAAAGATTCGCCGTGATAGACTTAATAGACTGTTGGGGCAAGTGCTGTTAGGTAGCACCAATGAAGGCCGCACAAGTGGGTGGATGTCCAGCACCACGCCCGGCCGCCTTTGTCTCCCCAGTGGCGATGTTTCCTACACACCGCACCAGGTACTCATTTGAGGCCGAGTCGACTTAGGGGAGGCTAAGGACCGGTTCAGATAATGGTCACTGACGTTGGCCTTGAGCGGAAATCGACCTTGGGTATCTGCCAGGTTCGTAGCGCTGTGTAGTGCTAACCGCTACATTACCGCTCCCCACGAGGAAATACAAAGATAGAGGCAAAGATCCCCCATATAGCCTTAACAGACTGTAGGGGCAAGTGCTGTTAGCGAGCACCTATGAAGGCCGGAACGGTACACGAGGGGGTGGGTGGCCAGCACCACGCCCGACCGCCTTTGTCTCCCTAGTGGCAATGTTTACACACCACACCAGGTACTCATTTGAGGCTGAGTCGACCTAGGGGAGGCCCGGGACCGGTTCAGATAATCGTCACCGTGGTGTTGGCCATGAGCGGGAATCGAACCCGGTGGGCGTCTGGTTCATAGCGCAGCGCGCTAACCGCGACACTACCGCTCCCCACAACGAGAAAAGACAGACACATACACACACAAACGTGACAGCAATTTTTTCCCCATTTGAACGTACTGTCCAGACTTGTTGAAATCACAGTTGCTTGAACAGGCCAAAAGGTAAAAAAAGCAAAGCAAAAAGCAGCCAATAACAAAACGCTCCCTGATTAAAGTTGTGAAAGACAAGCGTCTATGTACGCATGCATGTCGAACTTATTTTCCACCGTACGTAGCCAATCCCGCTAATCGGAGGTGCGGGGGGGGGGAACAAACAAAAAAACAACTAACTCAAAAATGAAAAAAAAATTGGTTTCACCCTTTCTGGCAATAAAACATCTCATTTTTTTGGTCTTTAGGCAAAGCCACGTAGATAGAAAAAGATATATCATGACGTTTCGATCGCAACACAAGCAAACGTCGTGATATTTTTATTATTTTTTCTATCTAAGTGGCTTTACTAAAAGACCCAAAGAATATGAATTCCTGCAGTCACGAAAGCTTTAAGTCAAGATAAAACAGGTGTTAAGATGTTCAAACACCAAATAGAAACCTTTTGCATGGAATCTTGTCTGCATTAACCACACACAAGTACTTGTGGTGAACATGCAAACAAACTTGCTATGACAATTATAAATGCATCGTCTCTAAAATTGATTGGCCTACACCAGAGACAGCCTTCTTCTAAGAAGAACATCTTAACTCCTCCTGTTTATCTTCTTGGTTCTTTCGGTAAAGTCACGTAGAAGGGAAATAATAAAAGAAAAAAAAGAAAACATAATAAAAATAATTATCACGACGTTTCGGCCACAACGCAAGCAGCCGTCCTCAGGTGAGAATTATTTTTATTATGTTTTATTTTTATTATTTTATTACTTCCCTTCTACGTGACTTTACCGAAAGAACCAAGAAGATGAATCCCTGCAGTCACGAAAGCTTTAAATCGAAATGTAATCCTCCTGTTTAATTGCCAGTAAGGATACAACCTATTCCCATTCATCATACTTTGATCCTGGCAAAAAAGGTCCCATTATAAACCAGCAATGCTGAGAACCATTGGTGCATATGCATATGTACATCGTGCATGAGTGTATCGTCATCAGGCATGGTAAAAACACTGATATAACGTTGATAAATGATCAGAGGGGTTGAAAATTTTATTATTAAATTCACATTCCTTCCGTACGCGCACGTGGAATTGAAATAATGACATTTTGTTATTTAATTTGACATGTTTTCCTAGAATTTGGTGACCCCATCCCACCCCTTCTACGTAATTTGGGGGCCCCTAGGCCACCGCCCTGGTTTGCCTGTATGGATGAGCCGTCCCAGGCGTTTCCCCGCGTCAACCCAACGCGTATAAAATACGACTAATATTTTTCCCGTGCTAAATATAACTTAATTCTAGATTTGAAGCTTATATTGGCGGCCGTTGAGGTTATGTGCCGTATTGGTTGTGGTTATAACGTGGTTGTAGTTATGATGGCTATGGTTATATACACACGAACCCACTCACCCACCCACTCACCCATCTAGCCACTCACTTTCTAGATTTGAAGCTTTCGTGACTGCAAGGATTCATATTCTTAGGTTTTTTCGGTAAAGTCACGTAGGTAAAAAATTAAAATTAATAAAAGTAAAATAAAATAAAAATCACGTTTCGGAGGCAACACAAGCTTCCGTCTTCAGGTGGAACCGTCACAGCCACGACAGCTGTATCAAGTAAATGAGAGATTACAAGAGCTACCACTCCGTATATATAATGGTTGAAGAGGGGAAGGGCCAAGTACGGCACACTTTTTATTAATATGGTAAGGTGAGGCTTAAGACTAAGAATAGACTGCATAACAAAAGACTGAGCCTTTGTTATGGAGAGGTACGGTTTGTGACTACGCCTAGCCTACATAACAAAAGTGTGAAAAAAGAAAAAACTAAACCTGGTAAAACAAGACTGGCTGTCTATCAATAACCTGTAATAGTTGTCTGTCAAATAAGATGGTCCAAATAAGTGTAGTTAAATCTTTTTTGCATGGTTAATCACATCTTTCCAATGATTACTCAGTTTGTAACCATCATCACGGTTGAAATTATGTCTGTGTTTGTATATTCTGTTTGAGAGGAGACCTGACGGATCCTTGGGACATTCTGTCTACAGGAAAGCCACCCACACAGATTCCTACTTGAAACCGGATTCCCACCACCATCCATCTCAAAAGAATGCTCTCATCAAAACGCTATACCACAGAGCCCATGGCATTTCTGACCAACACCACCTGGCCGGTGAATTAAGACATGTACATCGGGCCCTCAGGATGAACGGATACTCTGACCGCACCATCCACCAAGCTGTTTCTCCCACCATACAGAAACAGCCACATGAAACTCCGACCAAAACTATCACGTTACCATACATAGCAGGCGTGACCAAAAAGATCTCCAAAATTCTAAACAAACATAAGATCCAAGTCCGATTCAGTACAGTGCATAAAATCCGTGATCTGATTCCATCTGTGAAGGATGTCGTTCCTGACTTACAGTATCCTGGATTCTACAAATTGAGTTGCAGTTGTGGTGATTGCTACATTGGAGAAACGAAACGTCATGTTTCTGATTGTGTCCGCGAAAACAAGTCAGATCTGAAACACGGCAGAACTGATTCTTCGGCCGTTGCCGATCATTGCTACAACTCTGTGGGCTCTCATGAAATTGTCTTTTCCGAGACCAAGGTGCTCTGCAAACCTCCTGGCTACCATCAAAGGTTTGTACACGAAGCCATACAAATATATAAACACAGACATAATTTCAACCGTGATGATGGTTACAAACTGAGTAATCATTGGAAAGATGTGATTAACCATGCAAAAAAGATTTAACTACACTTATTTGGACCATATTATTTGACAGACAACTATTACAGGTTATTGATAGACAGCCAGTCTTGTTTTACCAGGTTTAGTTTTTTCTTTTTTCACACTTTTGTTATGTAGGCTAGGCGTAGTCACAAACCGTACCTCTCCATAACAAAGGCTCAGTCTTTTGTTATGCAGTCTATTCTTAGTCTTAAGCCTCACCTTACCATATTAATAAAAAGTGTGCCGTACTTGGCCCTTCCCCTCTTCAACCATTATATATACGGAGTGGTAGCTCTTGTAATCTCTCATTTACTTGATACAGCTGTCGTGGCTGTGACGGTTCCACTAGAAGACGGAAGCTTGTGTTGCCTCCGAAACGTCGTGATTTTTATTTTATTTAACTTTTATTAATTTTAATTTTTTACCTACGTGATTTTACCGAAAAAACCTAAGAATATAAATATAACTTGTGCGGTAATTGTAGTGAATGAAAAAAAATAGAAAAGCGTGTGTCATTGTACAATAACTGCGTACACGGTATCGGTGTACGTCAGGGGTTCTTATTTATAACCTGGGATGCAGCACGCACGACCCTGGGAGTGCGTGCTGCCCTTTTGGGGTGCGAGACATGGACAGACTATTTTCAGAAGGTAAATAATCGAAATACAAATTAAGCACGGGCTATATAAGCATAATTTACTTTGTTTCATTAAACCCTATGCATTTAATAGCATTATGAATGTTTTATGATTGAGAACCAAAGCGGTGCAAGGCTGTTTGCGAGACTCAACTGGGCGCTGGGGTGGAGAGGAGCCGGAGAGCGGAAAGTTCGTCTCCTGGATTTGCGACGCTTCGGTGGTGCTCTGTACGGAGTCCCATGGGCCAACATCGTCATACTGCACGGCAACACATACACACACACCTGTGTCCACACACACACAACTCTATCCATCCACACACACACACCTGTATCCACACACACAACAACAACCGCCATTCGCCTCTAAGAAGCGGTGACGTAACCATGGTGCTTGTGCCAGGCTATGTGCACGTTGAGGCAACGCGAAGTGTCGAACGCCCGCTGACAGGAGGTCACTTGCTGTGTTTTAGCTGCCTGGCGCTCCGACGTTGTGAGAGTCGCTCCTCTGCTCTCCATTGTTGTTGGAGGGCGACTGCCTCCAACTGCCCGGTAGCGTCCTTTACGAGCTCCCTCCACAGAGGCTGATCTTGACACCGCTGGTACAAGTCATAAGCAAGTCCACTCAGCTCCACATCCCCCTGTACCACATCACTCCATCTCTTCTCTAGCCCATGCCGCGTCCGTTTAGCCCCCTCGATCCGGCCGAACAAAAGCTGTTTAGGCATGCAGTCACTGGGCATGCAGCCTTGCCTGCCGGAGGAGCTCACCGATGGGACTTTGTCCAGATCTTTCAAGGATATGTGAGCTCCTCACACAATTCAGCCTGGTTAAACCCAAGATGGATCTTAGGCAGGCCAGTCTAAATGTTTCTAACCGGCGAAGATGTTCCTTTACGGGGTCCACGTTTTGCAGGCATAGAGAAGGGAGGGAATAACTGTGGCCGAGAAGACCTGAAGTTTCGTGCGGAGCGACAGACCAGGTAGCTTCCACACAGCGTTATGCAACCGATGAAAAGATAATGCCGCTCGACTGATTCGGAGTGATACCTCTGCTGTCAAACCGGAGCCGGTCTGGAGCACACTGCCCAGGTATGGGAAGCACTCCACTGTCTTCACAACTGCCATATCACCATTTGGGAGTTGTGGGGGTGGAGTGTCCGATGGTACAAAATACCCAGGCAGGTGCTTAGTTTTGGAGGGCAAGCTCCAGGTTCAGCAGCAACGCCTCCAACTCCTCCCCTAAGTGAGCAACAATTACCAGATCATCTGCATACATAACATGGTTGAGCAAGAGGGAGCCATCCCTTGACCACACCCGGGCATCGATCAGCCTCCCATTGTATCTGTACCAGATGGAAATTTCTCTGGTACAACCATCGAAGGCTTCATGAACTACGTGTTCGAAATATATGATAAATAATGTGGGAGCCAGAGGACATCCCTGTCGCACCCCAAAGTGATCAGGGAATGGCTCCCACTCCTGGCCACGTAGTTTTACCCGGTGCTACTCACCATCATGAAGGTCCTTAAATGATCGTGAGCAGTGGGTCAGGGACTCTGAAAGCACGAAGAACAAACCAAGAGCCCAGGCCTACTGATGGTATCATAGGCCTTGGCCAGGTCAATAAAGCAGAGATGTAGGACTTGTTGGAATTCCCTACACCTTTGCTGCAGCAGACGGACAAAAAATATGGCATCTGTGCAGGACCACCCTTTCCTGAAACCACATTGGGGCTCCGCAAGCCTCTCCTCAGCGTGCCTGGCAAGGCGATGTTGAATAATCCTTGCCATGACTTTTCTCGGCACACTGAGGAGTGAAATGCCCCTGGATTCGTTAGTCTGTGCGGTCTCCCTTCTTAAAGAGGGGGACCACCAGGGCATCCTTCCAATCCTGCAGAATCTATCCTGTGGTCCAGGAGTATTATGATATAATTTAGGGCAGTCTGTGCACAAAAGCCACCCTCCCTCAGCATTTCGCTTGGGAGATCATCTCTGCACAGTGCCTTTCCTGGTCTCAGACTCTGGATGGCCTTTAGTACTTCCTCAACAGATGGCACCTCAGCCAGCCACTCACAGGGGTGACGTCTTCTTCCAATATTTGAGGCACCACAGCCTCAGCAGGTGTCATCCACAATTTGTCCCATGATGTTTTCCAGGCTGAGGGATTTCCCCTCCCCCAGGACCTCACAGAAATGCTCAGCAAATCTGCAAACCTGTTCCTGGGGGTCGGAGATTGGATCACCGTTCTTTCCCCTAATGATGGTAATAGGTGTAGTGCTGCAGGTTACTTTTTCATGGAATTAAAGAGCAATTTGTGATTGTAGGCCATTGAATCAGACTCCATCTCCTCAGAAACCCGCGATCATCAACCATCCTTGCAGCGCCTGTTGTAGTCAAGTATGTCGTATATAGTAGTGTATAGTAGTGTATAGTGTAGTATATAATAGTGTAGTGTATATACACTACACACTGCTCTACACTATACATTGATATACATACAATACGATTGACTACAATACACTACACGACACTACTATACACTACACTACAACCCTAAACTATACACTACACCTTACACTACAATATAAATTACACAATACCCGACACTACCATTCACCACACTGCATACTACACACTCCACTACACACACTCCACGACTTTAGTAAATATAAAACGAATTTCTTTAGAACTGCTTGTTGTTGTGTTTAGTTTGTTGTCCTTACCCCGCACCTTCATTTAATAGAGTTGGCTGCATTACGGTGCAATGGAATTTCAACGTAATACAGAAAAGGCAAGAAAAAGCACGGTGATCCAAAGAAAATTGGCAACTCACCACATTCTCGATACGAGTCCTCTGTCCACCTGTTGGTCACATGTAACACAATCAGAAACTGCAACTACACAGTCAAAATGCACAAACAGACGCATTCCCCTCGTTTTACACCCAGGGTGCGTTTCTGAAAACCAGAATGCATGTGGACATTACTTAAATCGAAGATAAGGGATGGTGGATTGTAACGTGGTATAGAACCTACAATTACTCGTAGTATAACCCTATATATCCTGACTTTTGGGTCACCCTGTATAACAATAATAACCCTGTGTCCTGACCTTCGGATCACCCTGCATAATAACAATAATAACCCAATGTGTCCTGACTTTTGCATCACCCTGTATAATAATGTAGGATTTTCAGGGCAGATGTGATGAGCCTGGCTGTGATAATCTGGAAGAGGAAAGCAGCACGTAGCTGACAGCAGAGCCTCACAGCTCTCCCTTTGGAGGATGAACCGCTGACCCCATGGCATGCTGGAGGAAGGGCCCTAAGGAGGATATGATTTGAGGAGAGAGAAAAGAGCGGGAGTTGCGGGCGGAGAGAGAGGGAGATGGCTGTGTAAGGGGAGCTGAAGATAAATGAGGGTTGATACTTACCTGTCTCCCTCGTGGATTTCATTACAATAACAATAAAAACCCTATGTATCGTGACTTTGGATCACCCTCTACAACGTGATTAGTTTCACAGCAACAATCGCACCCCCCAGCCCCACCTACTCCTCCCCACGTAGTAAATTGCATTGTTAGCCGTTATGCTGACTCTCTTGCTCACGTTTAAAATAAAAAGCCAGGAGGGAGACCGCCAGCACCAAGACCAGGATCGTCACCCCCGATAGAGCAGGCGCAACGTACCCGTGACCTCCATCTTCTGTGAGAGACAATGAGTTAAGAATCAGTTGTTTATTTATACTGCAAGAGGAATCCTGAGCGCTATGAAGTTCTCTTTAACATACATCCAGTTTGAGGGGCGCGGGGGTCAAAATATTACAATACACAGACACCATAGGAGTGCAAAGTATTGTGAAGGTAACCATACCCCTTAACAAAATATATACAAATAAAACTAAACAATGTTTTATCTTACCAGGTAAAGGCCCAGAGCTATTAGCTTCCTTTTCATAAGCTACCTAGCCACTAATGACAGCTCAACGAAGTGGCTTATCACGTGGAAATTTAATCACAGCCAAACACTCTAAATCTATATAAATGTGTGACGTCGCTGATTCTAAATATGGACAGAAAAACTAGAGGACCCGGAGAAAAATCCACGCGACCATGGGGAGAGAGAGAGACACGCAGTCTCCAAATATACAGCAGCAGGCGTCAGGGTCCTTCTGCATGTCAGGCAAGGGAGATAACATCTAGCCACCATGGCCCCCCTTAGATAAAACAGCAAAAGCAGTCCCGGACCACACCAAGACAACACATATAAGGCCCTCAGTAATATTGAATATTAAAATTTGTATTATTGATGAAAGTTTCCAAATCGCCTTGGAATGGTTTGGAGTACAGGAGGAATTTGAACATCATTGGGGGTTACGTTCTTCGAAAGTCCCACGAACGCCAACACCGCGAATATTCGATACTTAAGCCCGACCGAGATAATGGGGGTTAGGCACACAGCTACCCAAACACATAGAGCATTACAATTGAAATAAGTTAAATGTCTCTATGCCAAATAAACTAAAAACAAATAATTGGAAATAAACGTAAAAACGCCGTAAGAAATACATTTCTGGATAATAAAGAGTAGTACAGGCCATTCTCCTGTAATGAAGCATGGTGTTTTCATAATGCCAATTGGATATGACGCAATTATTAATGTATTATAGGGAAAATATTTTATTACAATGAATTCGATAAATAAAGCGATTGAGCGAAGGAAACAACATCACAGTGCAAGTAGGAATAAGCGGTCATACGGCTGCCTCGGCGTAGCATCATCATCATGATCATCGTCACACGAGGCATTGGGATGCTGCTGGATACTTCCAGATGCTACCCAACACGCATAAACTCGGGTTTTGTTCGGCCTGTGCATGCATCATCTCGCGTGTTATCACGGACTGTGCTTTACTACCTCTAATTGTTTAATTTTGTGCAACGCAATATTTACATAACACGGTTTTTTTCAGGAACGCCATTACTACTAAAGGAGAACATACTGTAACTATACTGTATGCCAAATAAACTAAAAACAAAGCAATTGAAATGAATGTGTTAAAACTATGTACCATAAATAAAACCCATTCATAAGCAATGAAGAGTAGTAGTACTCAATGGCAGGAGGATAAAAGCTGGTAAGTCATCGATCAAGTGAAATAAAACAGGAGAAATTCTCCACGATTCTGGCTATCGCCTGATGAAGCTGGTTGTTGTTGTTTTCATGATCAGCGAAACGTCACTAGCTACTGGAATGTGTAAATGTTGCTGTGGGTTTACTCTCCAACACACAACAGCCTGTTAGTGCTGAGCTAATCACTCATGGGCACGCTCTATTTACGTGACAAACCTCTCACTGATTGGCTGTGTCGCGTGTTGGTAGCAAGTTTAACAATACTTACGCGATCTAAACCAAAATAAAACAGAACCCTTTATTACAGATAATATGATTGCGAAAGCCCTCCTACTACGTGTCCAACTAAAAAATATTCGGCTGCAAAATGGCCCAAACTAACGAATGCGTGAATCACGCCCACGGTTTATCCATGCAAACAAAGGACTCTTCTTCCCCAAATCCCTTCTTACCCGTTATTGTTGCTGTTGGTGTTGTTGTCTTTGTCGTGGGTGATCTGGGCACTTCTGTGATCTTGTCTAGGTGAGAAAGATATTTTTAAAAAACGAATCGCGTTAAAACGACAACTCCCGCTGGAAGATGGCATAAACAAACGCACAACTGAAATAATAAAAAAACAGACCTTAATATCCGTGATCGATGTCGTGCCTTGTTGCTATTCCATGTCAAGCCAATCAAACCTAAATGTCACGTGATTAAGATTACTTTGGGTTAGATTGTGTTGGTATTACGCCAGACTTTTTACCTCCACAGTTTATAATCAACGCCACGCATTCAAGAGTGTAATGAAGCTCATTGGAGACGTCCATTTATTAAAAAGGTGGAGTCTTTATGTTCCAAGTAATTTGTAAATACATCCCTGCGAACTGTCAGCCCTGACGTCTTCCACCTTGTAGTTTCTGGAGGGCATTGTCTAATGCCCTCCAGAAACTACACCCTAACTGTGGCATGTGTCTTTAATTATCTCAACGTGTACATTTCGTTGTCCCCTCTACAGTCCCTATGGTCACCTATTCACAATCATCTCAACGTGTACTCTTTACAATTTCTCTATAGACCACTACAAGAGTATCTGGCTGCTGACGTACATTTTCACGTGATGATAAGTCACTTCGTTGAACTATAAACTATTTAAAAAGAAACCGAGAAACTATATATTTTTTATTTAATGAGGTAAAGCCCCACTGAGCTGTATAGCTCTTTTTAAAAGTGACCTGGCCATAAATGATAGCCCAACAAAGTGGCTTATCATATCGTGGACATTTATCCCAGTCAAATACTTGAAATGCACGTTGATTCACTTGACCACGGGGAGATTGGAGAGAAGACACGTACTGTACACTCCAAATATACAACAGGCGCCAGGGTTGGGACCGAACCCACGACCTTCTGTATATCAGGCGAGGTAGTTAACATCTCATAGCCACCATGGCACCCACCTATCATCTGCAATGACCAGGTGGCTTCTGAACAGGAGCTAAATAGCACAGTGGGACCTTACACATGGTAAAATAAAAAAATAGTTTATCCTCTTCTGTTGAAATAGTTTATAGTTCAACGAAGTGGCTTATCATGTGGACATGTATAGCAGTAGCCAAAATATTCTGTCGGTAAAGTCACGTAGGTATAAAATAAAATAAAACAAATTAAATCACGACGTTTCAGGCGCAACACAAGCGTCCGTCATCAGGTGGGACAACCACAGCAAGAAACAAGAAACAATTGTTTGTGTTGCGCCCGAAACGTCGTGATTTTATGTTTTATTTTATACCTACGTGACTTTACTGAAAGAACCAAAGAGTATGGATCCCTGCAGTCATGAAAACTTCAAATCTAGATTAAAAATATTCTTAATTGTAAAATGTTGAAGGAAAAAAACTAGAGGACCCAGAGAGAAAATCTATGCGACCTACCACGGGGAGAGAGAGAGAGACACAGACTCCACATATACACCAGGCTACGTACACCAGGTGAAATATAAAATCGTTTATTGTTTTAATAAACATTTTTTTGCGGCCTACAGGTTTCCTCCAACGGGTTGTAATCGTGCACGCACTCACCTTTGGTGACCGTGAGCCTCATGTCGGAGACGCTGAACTCGAATGAGCCTCCCTGCCTCCACTCGTGTTGGCACTCATATGTGCCGGCGTCTCTGAGGCTGACGTTGGCGAGGACCAGCGAGGCGTCGTCTGGACTCGACCACAACAGCCGGACATCCGCTGACCTGCCCACGAAGTTGGGTCCCAGGTGGCTCGGGTTGCTACCGTTGTGGAGTAGGATGAGCTCGCGATCTTGCATCGGCAGGACCCTGAACCACGCGACCACCTCAAGGGCGCAGAGCGGAGAGCGGGCGCGGCACAACAGAGTCGCCGTCTCGTGCCAAGCGGAGCGGAGCGACGCATGCTGGGTCCGAACCTCACAGGCTACAACATAGAGAGCATGGGGGGGACCACAGGAGACAAACCAAGAACAACGATCCTCTACACCCCGTCACCCCCACAACAGTATAGACATATACTGTCACCTCGGGGTGATGAGAAGAAGCCGGGGTTATGTGATGTAAAAGGAGGCGAGTGGTTATGGGGGGAAAATCCCTCAAACCCTCCAATCTCCGGAAGCCAAGGCGGCGCCACCACGGAGTCTGGCTTTGACCAGGGGTGGGGCACAAGTTGGGCAGTCAGGGCGGGCCACTTGGTGTGGGGTGAGGGTGGTAGTTGACGGGGCTGTCCGTGATTGGTGGCAAGCGAGGTCAACAAAAAGTCAGGGCTTATGTAACGATGTTACGAGGATCCGATTGGAGGGCGCTGCACGAGCCAAGCTGATTGACAGAGGCGGGACCAGATTTTGAGTATTTTAGTGAGTGCTTCCCCGTGTACAGGGGAAGGATGATCAGCACAAACCATGACCAAGGGACTCCTGGAGAAGACCGGATACTGCGAAGCGGTTAACCAACCCGGAAAACTCAGCTTGTCTGAGCCTGGGCATGTGGAACCCCTGGTGGAGGAAATTCCACCAAAAGGGTCTTTGGAACTTCCACTACAACCAAGACCATCTCCAGTCGTGTTGACTACGTCTTGTCACTGGGTACAGATGGGGCTGGTCGAGAGAGTGAGATTGACGCTGCGCAAATCCACTTCACTTAAATCTAAGTTCTCTGCGCAAGTCTAGGCACTTTTTATCATCGCCATTATCCAAGTCCTGCGGCGATGGGTGAGCGACGAAGCAGCAGACATGGATATGCTGGAAGCTGTAGCCGGCAAACCTGCACACAGGTGGCTCAGGATATTGGTCGTGTCCTCAATGGACCGAAGCAGCAGTGAAGTCTGGCAGCACCCTGAGTGACTGAGCAGCCCTATTAAGGATCACACTGCTCACCAACCTAGTGAGGAAAGGGTTAGAAAAGGTACCCTAAACATTGTCTGCTTCAAAACATCCTGGCCAGCCTGCCGCAGCTGGCGGGATCCCATATCTGCGGTCGAAAAACAAATAAAATGAAAAAGACCAGAGTGATACCACTCACTGTTGGCACCTGGAATGTTCGCACTTTGATGGACACATCTGGACCAAAAAGACCTGAGAGATGCACCGCCATTGTGGGAAGAGAGCTAGCCAGATACAATGTGGATGTTGCTACCTTTAGTGAGACGCGACTGGCCAATACTGGACAGGTGACTGAAGTGGGTGCAGGTTACACATTCTTCTGGAGCGGACGAGGCCAGGAGGAGAGACGTGATGCTGGTGTTGGTTTTGCAGTAAAAACCACCTGGTCAACCAACTGGCAAGCCTACCCTAGGGTATAAACGACCGTTTAATCACCCTAAAGCTCCACATAATGGGTAAAAAGGAGGCCACCATCATCAGTGCCTATGCCCCTACCATGACTAACTCTGACGAGATCAAAACCAAGTTTTATAATGACCTGGAAGTCATTATTGCTGCCACAACCAGCTCGGACAAACACCTGATACTTGGTGACTTCAATGCCAGAGTTGGAAGTGACCATCAATCATGGAATAGAGTCATAGGTGCACATGGCATTGGAAAATGTAACAGCAACGGCATTCTGCTGCTGAAAACATGCTCTGAATTGGACCTGTTCATCACCAACACGATATTACAACTACCAAAGCGCAAAAAAACGTCATGGATGCATCCTTGTTCACACCACTGGCAGTTGACTGACTACGTCATCATGAGGAGGAGCGACCGGCACGATGTCAGGGTGACCAAGGCAATGTGTGGTGCTGAATGTTGGACTGACCATCGGTCTCATCATCTCCAAACTTAACATCCGGATATAGCATCTTAACATCACTCGCCTACAACAGGAACGCACCAGACTGGCCTTTGTTGAGGCTCTAGACCATCACCTGGAGTCTCTAAGCTTCGAGCATACAGACGCTGAGGCAGACTGGACTGCCCTCAAGACCGTGCTGCATTCTACAGCCCTTGAATCACTTGGTGTTCCCATACGTACACATCAAGATTGGTTTGATGAAAATGATGCAGAAATCCATGCACTCCTTAACGAAAAACATCGCCTGCATGAAGCATATATGAATGACAGCAGCTCAAGCTTAAAGAAAACTGCCTTCCTCAACATTCGCAGGGTTGTCCAGCGGAGACTCAGTGTCATGCAAGACACCTGTGCGCAAAAGCTGAAGAGATTCAGTCCCACGCTGACAGTAACAACACCAAGTGCCTCTATGATGCACTCAAGCAGGTCTATGGCCCGCAACACTCAGGAACTTCACCTCTCCTGAATGCAGATAGAACAACACTCCTCACAGAGAAGAACAAAATACTTGTGAGATGGGCTGAACACTTTAGTACAGTCCTCAACCAGCCATCATGTATAAATAAGAAAGCAATTGCGAGACTGCCTCAAGTTGAAATAAACTAGTCCCTTGCTGTTTTACCATCCATTGAGGAAAGCAGCAAAGCCATACGCCTCCTCTCATCAGGCAAAGCTCCAGGGTCCGATGCCATTCCAGCAGAAATCTACAAGGCTGGAGGGCCTCGCTTAGTCGAGAAACTGACCAACCTCTTCCAGTCTCTGTGGAAATTAGAAGCTTTTCCCCAGGAGTCCAAGGATGCCTTTATAATCCATCTCTATAAGAGGAAAGGCAATCGGCAGGCCTGCGACAACCGTAGAGGCATCTCCATACTATCAATCGCTGGCAAAATCTTGGCAAGAATCCTTCTGAACCGCCTAATTGTCCACCTAGACCAGGGTCTGCTACCTGAGAGTCAGTGTGGTATCAGAAAAGACCACAGAACCACTGACATGGTATTTACTGCCCGGCAGTTACAGGATAAATGCCAATAACAAAATGCTGATCTATATATAGCTTTCGTTGATCTAACAAAAGCATTCGACACAGTCTGCCGGGGGCCTATGGAAGATCATGGCCAAGTATGGGTGTCCAGACAAGTTCATTGGCATCGGGCGAAAACTCCATGATGGAATGATGGCCAGCGTCAGAGACCAGCAATAACTCTCTGATCCGCTCCCAATCACAAATGGGGTCAAGCAAGGCTGCGTCCTAGCGCCAACGCTCTTCAGCATAGTATTTTCTGCCATGCTGCAAGACTCATTCCAGAACCACAACACTAGGATTAGCTTCATCTACCGTTTTGACGGTGGGCTATTCAATCTGCGGAGAATGCAAGCCAAAACTAGAGTGGAGGAAGTCACTGTTCGAGAACTTTTGTTTGCTGATGACTGTGCTCTGGCTGCGCGCTCAAATAAAGATCTACAGGACAATATGGACCACTTCTCTTCAGCTTGTAACAACTTCGGCCTAACAATCAGCACAAAAAAGACTGAAGTCCTATACCAACCTGCTTCTGTGAAACCCTACACTGAGCCCACCATCTTTGTGAATGGGTAAAAGCTTTCAGTCATTGACAAGTTTACTTACCTTGGTAGTACTCTAACTCGTGCTGTGCACATAGATGATGAAGTTAACATCAGGATTGTCAAGGCCAGTGCAGTCTTTGGACGTCTACGTGACTCGGTATGGGAAAGGACTGGTATCAAGCAGGAGACAAAACTGAAGGTCTACCAGGCTGTTGTCTTACCAACTCTTCTGTATGGGTGCGAAGCCTGGACAATCTACCAGCGCCATGCCAAGAAATTGAACCATCTCCACTTGAGCTGTCTGAGGAAACTGCTGAGGATCAAGTGACAAGACAAAATCCCTGACATGGAAGTCCTCAGAAAGGAAAATATCCCCAGCGTCCACACCTTGCTTGTGAAGGAACAGCTTAAATGGACTGGCCACGTGACCAGAATGCCCTGCGCGATTCTTTAAAACAAGCCTTCTTTGGCGACTTGAAGAATGGCAAGTGAGCACAAGGTGGCCCCAAAAAGCGCTACAAGGACACTCTTAAAGCTTCCTTGAAGAGTTTTGGATTCGACCTGAAAAGCTGGGAACCCCTAGCTCAGGACCGACCTGCCTGGAGAAGAAAAGTACAGGACGTTGCAGTCCTCTGTGAGAGCAGGAGAAGCTCCTATGCTATCATGAAGAGGTAGCAGCGCAAATCTACCAAGGAAGGACTTGTGGCTGCACCTCAGAGCCTTACATCCTCCCTGACCTGTCCACAGAGAATTCAGGGCTCGGATTGGCCTGTTCAGCCATCTGCGCACTCATCAAAACCCAATAAAATGACAAACGTGCCATGGTCATCATCAACTATGATGGACGAACAAGAGAGAGAGAGACCGCAGGGTGGGCGGCTCAGTGACTGAGACTGCCGCTGCGTGGTGTCGCTCGGAGTGCGGTCGTGAGCGCAAACCAAGACTGAGCTTATTTCTGCATTGAATGCTGCTAGGTTCCCTGTGCTACCGTTTGGTTTGAGAGGATTTCTGAGGCTGCACGTGACCTGGTGAGTGTATTTGAATACCCTGGGCTTCTGCTGCGTCGCCTTGTCACCCAAGAGTGGAGCGTTCATGATAATTAGTATAAACGGTCGGCGCAGTGTTCTGTATCTGGGGTCGCTGTGTTGAACTATCCGGTCACGTAAATGTGGGCTATTACTGTCGACCGAGAGTTTTGTGGAGCTGGTTGTACTTGGTTGTCAAGAAATTGTTATCTGCCACAGTTGGTTCGCGTTCTTGTGCATATTGTGTCAATAGTGCAGAACGAATCCAGGCAGTTAAATACATTCCAAGTCTTGTTAAGATTCCCTGTATTCTGGATCGAGTTATTGTCCATCATTCTTTCGCCGTTAAAGCACGTTCAAAAGTACGCATTGGCATCATATATAAATATTGAGGGAAATGCAGGGGAGATAAAATGTATCCAAATTCCTCTCGTTTATTAAAAATAAGCAACCCTCACACTCCCCGAATAGCCTTAACAGCAGACTGTCTGGGCAAGTCCTGTTAGTAGTGAGTAGCAGCAGCATTACCTATGAAGGCCAGTACTGTGGCACACATGAGTGGGTGGGTGGCCAGCAACACGCACAGACACACACAAACAAAGATCTCCCGTGTAGCCTGAACAGACTGTCGGGGCAAGTCTAGTGCGTGACGAACTACTCGCTATAAAGTGAGTCTAGCGTGAGACAGACTACTCGCTATAAGGAGAGTCTAGCGTGTGATGGACTACTCACTACAACGTGAGTCTAGCTTGTGATGGACTACTTACTACATCAATCTAGCGTTTGATGGACTACTCACTACAACGTGAGTCTAGCAAGTGACGGACTACTTACTACATCAATCTAGCGTGTGACGGACTATTTACTACAACGTGAGTCTAGGGTGTTACGGACTACTCACTACAACGTGAGTCTAGCGTGTTGACGGACTACTTGCTACAACGTTAGTCCAGCATGTGTAGTGAAATAGCACCGAATGCTGTCCAGCAGCGGCATCTACGGTGGACAAACAGTACACACGCCGGTGAGCGTATACATGGGTGTGTCGGCAGGGCAGAAGAACTGGGGCAAGGGTTATGGAAGATCCCATCTGAAAGCCCCTGGAACCTGCTAGTGGTTTTGAGAAGGGAGGTGCGGCCAGGGCGGAGCCAGGCCACGCCAGGTAGCATAAAAGCAGCTGAGAGCGGGAGCTCAGGGCTGCCGGTTCTGGGAGTGGACTCGTCTCGTTGTCACTAGATATTGTGCAGCCGAATAGTTGTTGGTTATCTCGGTCAGCGCCGTTAGTGTTACATGGTCAGGGTTGTGTTTACGCTGGGCTAGACGACTAGGGAGAGTACGAGGGCGAACATGTGAAGTGTGAAGGTGTTTATTAAAAAGGTGCCTCCTGGAAACCCTTGTCTCCGAATCGCTGACACTACACATGTGACGGACTACCCACTCTCACGTGTCTAGAGAGCGTGTGATTTACCACTAACTTTAACGTGATTCTAGCATGTGATGGACTACTCGCTATAACATGAGTCTAATGTGTAATGGATTACTCAGTTTAACACCACTTTTATAATCACAGTTTGCGTGTCTCTCTCTCAGCTGTCGCGTGGATTTGAGCAGCTATCATTTGTGATGGGCCAGGTCTCCTTACACCTGGCAAAACAAAAATAAAAAAAAGATTCAAATAAGAGTTGTAGTCCTTTCTCACGCACACACACACCACGACTGAGCTCTGTAGACTCACCATAATGAACGGACAGCAGCTGTCTGCTCTCAGACTGCACCTCCCCCTCGTCCGAGCCCCACGTCGCCGTGACCAGGTAGAATCCGGAGTCATATCTCGTGAGGGACTTCACGGAGAGCCAGGACTTGGAGGAGTTTCCGCCGTAGAGCCAGGCCCTGTCTCGGTAGCGTGGGTGCACATGGGCCGAGCCGTTGAACGCCGCGACCTGGAGTCGAGCTTCGGGGCTGGTTGTGTTTTTGTCACTGTACCTCGCCTTGACCCACACCACGCTCGCGAGCCTGCACCTTGGAGCCGCGGTTATTTGAGCTGAAAACAGAACCGATCCTCCCACTTCTGTCTGAATGGGCTTTCTGGGCATGGAGATTCTGCAATCTGTAACAATAAAAAAGACAAAGATACTCCCCACCGTGTAGCCTTTAACAGACTGTTGGGGCAAGTGCTGTTGGTAGCGAGTAGCAGCAATGCCTATGAAGGCTGGCATTGTGACACATGATCGGGTGGATGTCCAGCACCACGCCCGGCCGCCTTTGTCCCTTACAGATGTGATGTTTACTACACACCGCACCAGGTACTCATTTGAGGCTTAACCTCGGGGAGGCCCAGGACCGGTTCAGATAATCGTTATCACTGGTGTTGTTGTCCGTAAGCAGGAATCGAATTCGGGTCTCTGCCGGGTTCATCGCGCAGTGCACTAACCGCTGCGCCACCACTCCCCACATACACGCACACACGGAAATATATGAAAAGCAAAGATCCCCCATTGAGCCCTTTTAGAAATGTTGGTGCAAGAACTGTTAGCAAGCGCCTGTTAAGGCTGGCAAAAACAGTCCGATCTCATACAACGCAGCGTGTTGCTTTCATAACGTGAATTGGATACAACGCAATGATGAATGTATCATTGGCAGCACGTTTTTTTTCTATGACGTGGATGCGAATTGTACATAATGCGAATTGTACATAACGCGATCGAGCGAATGGTGCTACGTCACAGCTGCATTGGGGTAGCATCATCATTGTTACCCAAGGCACTGGGATGCTGCTGAATGCTTCTAGTTGATGCTACCCACACACACGCACCCTCAATCTTTGTTCAGTCTGCATCTTACACGTTATCGGAGACTGCGCTTCACACCCCCTGTGTTATATATTATTATTTTTCATAACGCGATTGATTTGAACGGAACTACATCACAGCATCAGTAGGAACAAGTAGTAGTTGTAACGGCTGCCTCAGTGTAGCATCGCCATCATCATTATCGTTACACGAGGGGCATTGGGATGCTGCTGAATGCTTCTAGTAGATGCTATCCACAACGCGCCTCAACCTTTGTTCAGACGCTGCGTGACGCCATCATCTCATGCTATTATCACGGACTGTGCTTTAGCCCCTATATAATATATTAGTTATGAAAACGCAATTTTTCCAAAAACGTGGTGTCCTTTATGAACGCGACCACTACTAACCGCGTTACAAGAGAACAACAACAGACTGTACTCGATTTAAAGCTTTCGTGACTGCAGGGATTCGTCTTATTGGTTCTTTCGGTAAAGTCACGTAGAAGGTAAATAATAAAAATAAAACATAATAAAATACAATTCTCATGACGTTTCGGCCACAACGCAAGCAGCCGTCCTCGGGTGAAGAACAGGTCTGTCGGAAAGACAGCGTCTGAATGAGCACCACCAAGCTTGGCAGCGTATATTTAAGCTGGGTTGGAGGGGGAAGGGCGCCTTGACAAAGGAATTTGCATATCAAGAGGAATTTAGCATATTTATGGGAACTGCAGATATGGGGGGGGGGGGTTTCAAAGTCATATTATGCCCGTGCATTATGTAGGACTAGCACCATCAAAGGGAGGGAGTAGGGTTAGCAGTAATAAAGGGAAGGAATTTTAATAGGAAGGAGCTGCAGCAGCTAAACCACCACGTTAAAATCTAAAATATAACCTACATCAGTATCATCAATATACTAAATAAACTCTCCAATAAGCTGAGCTACTAACAGTAAGTCATACATTACAATTCTATGTCGCAAAAAATATAATATACCTCCAGCTAAACTTTTTTCTCTTACATCACACGGGTCTACCCCGTACTATATACTGCCATAGACAAACCCAACATTAAATTATATACTGCATTACTATACACCGTAATAAACCATTTCGGATCTTAACTGATTGTGTTCACGTTTACGGTGACTTTCAGACCGCAGTCCACTCACTGGCATTGACTATATATATTTTATTCTCCGCAGGGAATGGAGTCTTTGCAAGTCTCCTACTACCTCTCTGCCATTGACATATTTCGTTGCTTCCTCTTAGTACCTTTCACGCGATGGTCAATGGCATAGTGTATAGCAGATTGTATAATAATAAATAGTATAAAAGTGTAATGTTTAATATAATGAATAAGGTAATATATAGTATCGTAATTGTATAGTGAATATACAGCAGTGTGGTATACAGTAGGGTGGGTAGAATAATGCATAGTGTAATATTACAATGTATAGTCTAAGGTATAGGGTGGTGTATAGTAATGCAGTATATAATTTAATGTTGAGTTTGTCTATGGCAGTATATAGTACGGGGTAGACCCGTGTGATGTAAGAGAAAAAAGTTTAGCTGGAGGTATATTATATTTTTTGCGACATAGAATTGTAATGTATGACTTACTGTTAGTAGCTCAGCTTATTGGAGAGTATATTTAGTATATTGATGATACTGATGTAGTTTAAATTTTAGTTTTTTACATGGTGGTTTAGCTGCTGCAGCTCCTTACTATTAAAATTCCTTCCCTTTATTACTGCTAACCCTACTCCCTCCCTTTGATGGTGCTAGTCCTACATAATGCACGGGCATAATATGACTTTGAAACCCCCCCCCCCCATATCTGCAGTTCCCATAAATATGCTAAATTCCTCTTGATATGCAAATTCCTTTGTCAAGGCGCCCTTCCCCCTCCAACCCAGCTTAAATATACACTGTCAAGCTTGGTGGTGCTCATGCTCATTCAGACGCTGTCTTTCCGACAGACCTGTTCTTCACCTGAGGACGGCTGCTTGCGTTGTGGCCGAAACGTCGTGAGAATTGTATTTTATGATGTTTCATGTTTATTATTTTATTATTTCCCTTCTACGTGACTTTACCGAAAGAACCAAGAAGACTGTACTCGGTTTACATCCAAGTAAATATATATATATATCTCACTCCCTAATGATGTTTGCCTTGACCAGGACTCAAACTCGGGTTTTTGCCGGGTGCGACTCCGAAAGGAGAAAATCTCCTAAGCAAACGGGCCACCCAAATGAGCACGAGACGGAGTCGAGTCCCACGGGGCCTTGGCTTTTCTAGAGATGTATCCTCGACCCTCATGTCCCAGTCACCGACGCTCTTTTCCCACTTAGAATTTCACACGCATCTGGGCTCGACCAACCTGGATGTCAAATGTCATTGGCTCTGCATCTACATCAGCAGCCATACGACGTTTTCTTGTCCTTCCCCCACACCTTCGATTAGCACAGTTGGCAACATACAGTGCCAGAAAAGTTCAACATGCATACACTACACTATACACTACAATACACACTACCCTATACACTACATACTACACTATAAACTACACAATACATTACATTAATATACACTATACTACCATACGCTACACTATACACTACACCACAATGTTGTGTACAGGTGGTGCGAAAGATGTTCATCCCACGTACTGTGTACACACATTGCACTTTGCTCATCCCTCGCCACCAAGTTCCCGCGTCCTTACCACTGCGGACAGAGAGGGGCTGTGTGCTCTCGGACTGTCGAATCCCACTGGGCGAGCTCCACGCGGCCGTGACCGTGTAGTATCCCGAGTCATAAATCGTGAGATTTTTGATGAGGAGCGAGGCGTTGGAGGTGCCTTCGCCGTAGGTCCAGGCTTTTCCCCGGTACTTCGACTCCACGATGGCTGAGCCGTTGAACGACGCGACCTGCACCCCGTGCCAGCCGTGCGCGCCTCCGTCCGTCTTCGGGCTGACGGTCCAGGCGATGCTCTCGAGTGCGAGTTGGCATCTTGGAGGCGTCGTTGTCGCGGCCGAGAACAGGACCGAGTCTTGCGGCGTTTTCTGAATCGTTTCACCGGGCAAGGAGACACTGCAATCTGCAACAACAACCAGTATGAATAAACTGAAACAAAAGACAAAAATCACCCCCGTTATAGCCTTTAACAGACTGATGGGGCAAATGCTGTTAGCGAGTAGCAGCAGCGCCTGTGAATGTCGGAATGGCACACAAGGAGGTGGGTGGACAGTACCATGTCCGGCCGCCTTTGTCTCCCCCAGTGTGCGATGTTTACTTCACACTGCGCCAGATAACTCATTCGCGGCTGAGTCGACCTACGGGAAGGCCCTAGTACGAGTAAACATAATAGTCACTGGCGGTGTTGTTTGTGAGCAGGCATCGAACCCAGGTCCGTCGGGTTTGTAGCACAGCGCATTAACTGCTACACTACCGACACACACATAAATATACTGCCCAATTAGCTTCTGAGAGTGTTGGTGCAAGGACTGATAGCGATCACATATTAAGGCGATTGGGGGTGGTGTAGCCAGAAGCAGTTTCCCCTTTCTCCCTATAGTGCTGATATTTGTACTCATTTAAGGCTGAGTTGACCTAGGGGGAGGCCCAGATTAGGTTGACATCTCATAAAGATGTTAGGCCTTGTGGAGAATCGATCTATAGGTTGCTGTGTCTTGTAAAAAGATAGACAAATGCTGTCGCCCTGGGGTGATACGGAGTGGCCGGGGTAACACAATGTAAGAGGATGGGTGTGCGGTTATGGGAGTAAAATCCCCCAACCGCTTCCCCTCCACCCTCAGGAAGCCACCGTGGCATTACAGTCGGGGATCGAATCCACGAACTCCTGGAGGCGAGATGTTACCTACATCACCTGGTTTGCAGGAGGTCGTGGGTTCTATACCGACACTGACAACTTCTGTATATTGGGAGACTGCGTGTCTCTTTCCGCGCGGTCGTGTGGTTTTTCTCCGGGTCCTCCAGTTTTTCCCTCCACATACAAAATCAATGTCACGTGTTTAGATCATTTGGCTGCTGCTATAAATGTCCACGTGATGATGACGATGATGATATCAGCCACTTAAGTGAGATAACATTTGTGAGGGCCACGTCGCTTCTGAAAAAGAGCTACGTAGCTCAGTAGTGGGCCGTACCTGGTAAAATAAAATAGTTGATAGTTTTGTAAAGCTTTCACTACCAATATTATGCATCATAGAGGGTTAGATGGCGTAAATTTATATGTGTAGATGAGTAGTGGGACGACGTCATGTCATCTATCGAGGAGTGGGATGACGTGATGTGATGACATTATGCCATCGAGGCGGCGGGGTACTGAAGGGGGCCCCCGGGACGAGGCTGGGGTCGCTGTGGGGAGAGTGAGGTGGCCACCATAGGCGAGTGAAAGAGAGGAGAACAGGAGCCTGCGTGGAAGACATCTCAGCCGCCGCTGAAGAAGGGCTAGAGATGTAGAGGTCTCACCTCGTTGCCGGGCGGTGATGGGCGAGCCCCCGCCCGGGGCAGACGAGGTGATAGACATAGGGGAAGCCGTACCAGGGCGTAGATAGCTGAGAGATGTCCGTGTTAAGGACAGAGTTATGACGTGTGCCATGACGGGTGTAAGCGTCGAGTGTATAGAGTGTAAACAGAGTGTATAAGAGTGTGAATAAATGGCAAGCAGCCCTATGTAAGAATCCTCATCTCCGTCTGGCTCTACAGGTCTCCTGGGTATCAAGAGTTACTACACTACAAACGTAAAAACCCGCCACCACCACCCGAAACAGGCAATCAGTAAGTGGTTTGTCACATAACACAAAACGTGGCCAAATAGTTTACTAGTTCAGCACTAATCGGTTGTTGTTGTGTGTTGGAAAGTTAAACCTAGAGTCACATTTACACATTCGAGTAGCTGGTGATGTCACGCCGGTGATTACATCAACAACAACCAGCAGCCTCATCAGGCAACAGCCAATAACTCTCTAACACGCAACAACCAGTGAGTGTTGACAGTAAACGAAGTGGAGTATTGTGTTTTACGTGACAAATCCCTCACTGATTAGCTGTCGGGTGGTGGTGTGTGTTTAACGACACATCAATATTTCTGAATCGAACCCAAAAATAAAATAAAAAAACAACCCTTTGTTACGGTTAATATTGATCATGAAAGCCCTCCTACGTATCGAAATAAAAAATATTTGGCTGCAAAATGGCCCAAACTAAAGAATGCCTGAATCACGCCCACGGTTTTTCCATGCAAACAAACGACTCTTCTTCCCCAAACCTGTTCTTACCTGTTGAACGAAGGGGAACATCTTCTTTTGTTGTTATGGTTGTATTATTGTAGTGACAGGGTGCCATCTGTTGACCATGGGGGCTAACTACGGGTGTGGATGCGTTATGAAATGGCACACATATAGGCAACCATAAGGGGGGCGTAACTCGGCCAAGGGTCAAGGCGGGGATCAATCAGGAAGGTCCTGGAACCATCGAGAGAGTTCCAGAAGTGGGACATGGCCAGGGGCAGGGCTTGGCCACACTGGAGGGATATAAGGGAAAGGCAAACGGAGGTTCGGGTCTTGGCTTCCATCACTGTCGTCGCTGCCGTCTCTTCGTTATCATCGTCGCTGCGTAGCAGGCTAGCTCTACAGCCCTCATCATCGTCGTCGTCACTATATAGCCAGTCAGCTATATAGTGTGTGGCGAAGCTTCGTCGCGTTGTTACAGCCCTGCTCGTATAAACCACTCCCCGTCTATCCGACCTGCTTCGACATGACCATGGGGATTCTGATTGTGATGCAACACCACCGCCGCCACCAGCACCGCCACCACCATTCACCACCCACCACCACCCCGCCACCACCGCGAACGGACGGACGAAGCTTAACGACCAAATCACTTAAACGACCGGTTTCCTGGAACCAATCGCCGTCGTTAAGGGGAGGGGGTTCTGCTGTGCTCATGTTCTGCTTTGTAGATTAACAGGCCAGCTGAGTGAAGCTTCGACGAGTCTGACCGTGGGCATGGCTCCCCCTAACTCCGTGTTTCCCATAGGGCACCTCCCCCTGCACTGTATCAACCACGGATTTCATACCTGTCAAACTCTCATCAGTGCTCTACCTAATTACAGACCGATTAATACCTCATTGGTCACTCCGTGCCCCTTATAAATCTCAACGTTCATCCTACAAAATCCTATCACAAGGGGGAAACAAACAAATAGACGCAAACTTTTTTTTTATTGTCCGTATTAAAACGGCTGAAAACCGTATGGACCTGATAACTCAATTTCCCTTGTACATGATTACGGGGTAAACCGTATGGGTTGACAGGTATGGTATTTGCTTACTCTGGAATTTCCTAGGAATCTACACCCTCCACCCCTCTCGCGGTTGGCAAATGATCGCTCTACATTCTAGGGGAATGGGAGGGGGGCAATGGCTCCCCCTCCTCATGTCAATCAAAACGATCGAACTGCCATGCATTTCCGTGGTCGTCTGGAAAAAATTAAACGCGCCAGAATCACTACCGAGTATGCAGTAAAGTGTAAAATAAAACGACAGTCAAAGAAAATAACCGCACGAGGTTTGTCAAGCACTGAATGCAATAAAATTAAAAGCTACGTTTCCGGTGAAGGTGTCATTCGGTTATGCACGATGTTCATTCAGAATAGACCTACGCCCTTTCTGAGATAGCGATCTAGTCAATGTTGTATTTGCTTCAACACGAGGGTGGGTGAGTGAATGAATAGATGAGTGAAAAGATGGGTGGGTGGGTGAGCGGGTGGGTAGGTGAATAGTGAGTGAGAGGGTGAGTGGGGAAATTGGTGGGTGAGAGAGTTGGTAGGTGAGTGAGTGAGCGAATGAATGGGTGAATGGGGGAGTGATGGATAAGTGAGTGAGTGAGTGGATAGCGGAGTGAATGGGTGGGTGAGTGAGTGGGTTAAGTGAGTGAGTGGGTGGCTGAATGGTTGGATGGGTGATTGGTTGACTGGGAGGGAGAGTGAGTGGGTGAGTGAATGGGTGGGTGCTTGGGTGGGTGATTGGGTGGGAGAGTGAGTGGATACTCTTAGGTTTCTATCAGATACTCTGCTTCCCTTCACTGGCAAAACCTCTTCAGCAGTACTTAACTCAACCAAATTGGTCTCTATGGTCAAGGACATGGTACTCTCTCCTGACGATATCCTCGTCAGTTTTGATGTGGTATCTCTGTTTACCAAAGTCCCAGTGCCTGACACCCTAACAATAATTGAAGACTTGGTCCAACATGGATTGAACTCGGATGTACCTGCGCTGGTTAGGCATTGCCTCACCAACACTTATTTTACCTAGAATGACACCTTCTACAAACAGAATGAAGGTACCCCTATGGGCTCCCCCTTGTCACCAGTGATAGCCAATGTGTTCATGGAAAAGTTTGAATCAGACGCCATCCAGACGTCCACCCTGCGTCCTTCCCTGTGGAAGAGATATGTGGATGACACTTTCGTCATTTGGCCACATGGCCTCCCAGCATTGAACCATTTCCTGGACCACATCAATTCCAGACACCCATCCATCAGATTCACCATGGAAGTGGAGAAAGATGGCAAACTACCTTTCTTAGATGTTCTGTTTGAGAGGAGACCTGTCTACAGGAATGCCACCCACACAGATTCCTACTTGAAACCTGATTCCCACCACCACCCGGCTCAAAATAATTCTCTCATCAAAACACTATACCACAGAGCTCATGGCATCTCTGACCAACACCACCTGGCCACTGAATTAAAACATGTACATCTGGCCCTCAAGATGAACGTATACTCTGACCGCACTATCCGCCAAGCTGTTTCTCCTACCATGCAGAAACAACCACTTGAAACTCCGATCAAAACTATCACGTTGCCATACATTGCAGGCGTAACCAAAAAAATCTCAAAAATTCTAGACAAACATAAGATTCAAGTCCGATTCAGTACAGAACATAAAATCCGTGATCTAATCCCATCTGTGAAAGATGTCATTCCTGACTTGCAATACCCTGGAGTCTATAAACTGAGTTGCATCTGTGGTGATTGTTACATTGGGAAAACGAAACGTCATGTCTCCGATCGTGTCCGCGAGCACAAGTCAGATCTGAAACACGGCAAAATTGAGTCTTCCGCTGTTGCCGATCATTGTTACAACGCTGTGGGCTCTCATGATATTGTCTTTTCCGAGACCAAGGTGTTCTGCAAACCTTCTGGCTACCATCAAAGGTTTGTACACGAGGCCATCCAGATATACAAACACAGACATAACTTCAACCGTGATGATGGGTACAAATTGAGCAATCATTGGAAAGATGTTATTAACCATGTAAAAAAAGATTTAACCACATATTTGTAGCATCTTATTTGACAGGTACAGGTACTAGTCTACTTTACCGAGTGTTGACATTCCCAGCGTTTAACAGTACTGCTATTTTGTATTTTAGATTTGTCAGCCAACATCGACCGTAACCTCGGGCTGAGGTGCACCAATTGTTCCCTTTTAGCCCCCCCCCCCACCGTGCCATTCCCTGGCCACCACATTCAGATAAGCCCCTCCCCCATAACTTGTATTTAAGAGCTTGTCTCTTGGATTTTCCTCACTTGATAGAGTAAATTTCGCTGTGACGGTCCCACCTGAAGACGGAGACTTGTGTTGCCTCCTAAACGTCGTGATTTAATTGATTTATTTTCATTTATTATTATTTTATTTCTATTATATTATTATTTTACCTACGTGACTTTACCGAAAAAATCTAAGAGTATGAATCCTTGCAGTCACGAAAGCTTCAAATCTAGAAAGTGAGTGGATAGATGGGTGAGTGGGTGGATGAACGGGTGAGTGGGTTCGTGTGTATATAACCACAGCCATCATAACTACAACCACGTTATAACCACAACCAATACGGCACATAACCTCAACGGACACCAATATAATCACAGCCAAAACTGCATTATAACCACAAACTTAACCACGTTATGAACCCAGCAAGAAAAACCACCACAGTATAATAACAACATCACCACAGCAGCCGCAGCCGTACTAACCATCTCATAACAACTGCTCCTCCGCGGCCCATCCTGGCTCCTCCCCCCTCAACCAGTATATATACAAGGTCGGGTCTCTTGGGATTTATCTTTACTTGATACAGCAATTGTGCTGTGACGGTTCCACCTGAAGACGGAAGCTTGTGTTGCCTCCGAAACGTCGTGATTTATTATTTTATTTCTATTATTTCTTATAGTATTTATTATTTATTTTTTATTCTTTATTTTTTACCTACGTGACTTTACCGAAAGAACCAAAGAGTATGGATAAGTCATTACTTCGTTGACCTGCTATTATTTGTGATGGCCAGGTCGCTTCTGAAAAAAGCTACACAGCAGATCAGTGGGGCCTTGCACCTGGTAAATGAAAGTGGTATAGTGTTGCAAAATAGGCATGAATGTATGCACTTGTGTAATTTGCACTCATATACTTTATTTATTTTATTTGGTGCGACGTTAAAAAAGATATATCCAGAAGCAGAAGTTTAGCACTGGACAGAGAAACCACAATTTGCAAACGTGATTTGTAACGTTGATCCTTAACCTCGATAGTTCAATTGGACTGAGGGTCTGTTGTTTCCTTGATGATGCCTGAGAATGTTGTTGTTGTCTTGATGTGATCTGGAACTGTTGTTGTCTTCGTGTGGCCTGGGTCTGTTGTTTTCTTCGTCTGTGTCTGTTGTTGTTGTTGTCTTGGTGTGCCCTGGGACGATTGTTATTGTTGATGTTGTTTTGGTGTGGTCTGGGACTATTGTTGTTGTCATGATGTGCTCTGGGACTATTGTTGTTGTTGTTGTCTTGGTGTGGTCTGTGACTGTTGTTGTTGTTGCCTTGGTGTGGTCTGGGACTGTTGTTGTTGTCTTGGTGTAGTCTGGGACTGTTGTTGTTGTTGCCTTGGTATGGTCTGGGACTGTTGTTGTTGTCTTGGTGTGGTCTGGGACTGTTGTTGTTGCCTTGGTGTGGTCTGAGACTGTTGTTGTTGTCTTGGTGTGGTCTGGGACTGTTGTTGTCTTAATATGGTCTGGGTCTGTTGTTGTTTTCTTGGTGTGGTCTGGAGCTGTTGTTTTTGCCTTGGTGTGGTCTGGGTCTGTTATTTTTTCTGCCTTCTAGATTATTTAAAAATACTGCTTGTTGTTGTTGGTCTTTTTGTATTTAGTTTGTTGCCCTTCCCCAACACCTCCGATCACCCCCTTTGAGTATGTACGGTGGCGAAACAAGTTCAACATACACAAACATGCATAGACTCATCACACATAGACCCATAGACGACTCACACAGAGATCATAGACTCACACAGAGACCCATACATTACTCACACAGAGATCATAGACTCACACAGCGACCAATAGACTCACACAGAGATCGACAGTCTCGTACAGACACATATACCCATATACTCACACAGAGACCCATAGACTCACACAGAGATCCATAGAATCACACATAGACTTCATGTCCCAAACGTGCAGTTAAGTGTTGGGACATCGGCAGGAATGTTACTTACTTATGTAATTCGAACTAATACACTTTATTTATGTTTCAGTGGCTTGGTTAGCTTTGCTGTAGACTGCACGCCCGCTTAAAGGGTAAAAACAAGTTAAAGGCGCAGCCCCGCAATTATCTGCTTACAACCACTGGTGGTGGAAGGGCATTGACTGGATATCACAGAGTGAGTGGATGGGCGGGTGAGTGGGTTGGTGGGTGTGTGGCTGAGTGGTTGCCTGGTTGATTGGGTGAGTGGGTAGATGGATGAGTGGGTGGGTGGATGAGTGGCTGAGCGGTTGGATGAGTAATTGGGTGATTGGTTAGGTGGGTGAGTGAGTGGCTGAGTTGTGGGTGGTTGAGTGGCTGAGTGGTTGGGTGGAAGAGTGGGTGGATGGATGAGTTGGTGGATGAATGGATGAGTGGGTGGATGAGCAAGTGCGCGGCTGAATGGCTGAGTGATTGGGTGGGTTATTGGGTGAGTGGGTTCGGAGGTATATTCCCACTATGTACTTATTTTATTTGTACTTTAGTGCATTATTTGTGACTTGCTCACCATTACCTGTATTTTGCACTCCTATCGTTAGTCGTGTATTGTGTGCTTATTGCTGTATCGTTTGCTGACCCCTTGCCCCCTAACTGGACATCTGGGAGTAAAGAGCTTTACAGCTCCTCGGATTCCCCCTGTTGCAGCCTAATTCCGGAGTCTGAGTCTGGTTCGGAACACCACCACCACGTTCTAACCAGAACCCCAACACGGCGTTTTAACCACAACCCTAATCACGACCACGGCGCGTGCGGTGGAAGTTTTGATGCCACACGGAACGGACACTTGTGAATTACATATCGATGACAGCGAATACAATAAAAAATAAATCCACACCGAGCCATGTAGCTGGCCATCACACGAATGACCGCACAAACGAAAGGGGCTTGTCGTCCCGTGGACATTTAAAGTAACAGCCAAAATTAATCGAGATCGATATATATACAGCATATCTTTTGCGAAACTATTTTACAACATTACACACATATCACGCATAGTTTGTGTAACACAAATGTCTAACTCCATGTACGATTTTTGTGTTTAGTTGGTTGTCATTCCGTCGCACCTCCGATGAGCACGGTTGGCTATGTACGGTGCTGAAAGAAGATCAACATACATTCATACAAATACAAAGATCCCCCGTATAGCCTGAACAGATTGTTGGGGCAAGGGTTGTTAGTGATTAGCACCTATGAAGGTGTGGGAGGCCAACACCACGCCCGGTCGCCTTTGTCTCCCCGGTGTAGATGATTACACACCGCACTAGGTACTCATTTTAGGCTGAGTCGACCTAGGGGATTTCCCTGGACCGGTTCAGATAATCGCTATCAGTGGTGTTGGCCGTGATCGGGAATCGAACTCGGGTTGCCGGGTTCGTAGTGCCACGTAGTGCTAACCGCTGCACAACCGCTCCCACATACAATGTGCGTACTGCCTGCAGTCACGTGTGCTCTGTGTGTGTAGTTTCCCGCGTGCCTGCCTACCTTGTTGCGCCGGTGTGAGCAGCGGTAGAGCGAGCAGCAGCAACGGCCAGGCTGCCATCGCGGCAGGGCTCATTGAGCGACACAGAGATGGGGAGGGAGGGGTGGGGCTATACGGGGAGAAGGCGGGGTCAGTTATTGGGAGGGCGGGGCTATAGGGGGAGAGGGCGGGGACAGTCATTGAGGGGGCAGGGATATATGGAGAGAGGGAGGGGCTCTATGGAGAGAGGGCGGGGCAATAGGGCGAGAGGGCTGGGGCAGATACTGTAAGTCTTCGTTTAACGCGGTAGATGGGTTCCGAGTTATAACGGTGTACTTTCCGTGCCCGGCGACCTTTGTCTCCCAGGTGGCAATGTTTTTACACACCGCATCCACGTAATCATTTGAGGCTGAGACAACCTACAGGAGGCCCAGGACTGGATCCGATAATCGCCACTGGTTTTGGCCATGAGCGGGAATCAAACTCGGGTCGGTGGGTTTGTGGCACAGCGCTAAGCGATACAACCGCCGCTCCCTACAATGTGTGTGTACAGACATTGGTACACACACACATTGGTACACACACACATTGGTATACACACAAATACAAAGACAGCCCATATAGCCTTAACAAACTGTTAAGGCAAGTGCTGTTAGCGAGTAGCACCTACGAAGGCCAAAAGGCACACGAGGGGATGGGTGGCCAGCACCACGCCCAGCTGCCTTTGCCTCCCCAGTGGCAATGTTTATTACATACTGCACCAAGTAACTCATTTGAGGCTGAGTCGACCTAGATGAGGTCAGTACCGGTTTATATAATCGTCACTGATGTTGGCCGTGAGCTGGAGTCGAACTCGGTTGCTAGGATCGGAACTCAGCATGCTAACCCCTAAACAACCGCTTATACAGACACATAAAAACCGCCATTCGCCACTAAGTGGCGGTGACGTCACCGCAAAGCTTGTGCCAGGCTATGTGCACCTTCATGCCATGTGAAGTGTCGAACGCCTGCTGGCAGGAGGTCATGGGGCAGACCCAGGTGTCACGGGTCGACTGACTGAGATGACTGGCTGATGCACTACCTGTGCCCCCTACTGTGACAACTTGTTGTGCTTTAGCCACCCGGTGCTCCGTTGTTGTTGGAGGGCAACTGCCTCCAAATGCCCAGTAGCGTCCTTCACGAGCCTCCTCCACTGAGGCCAATCTTGACACCGCTGGTACCAGTCATTGGCAAGTCCACTCAGCCCTAGGTCCTCCTGAACCACATCACTCCATGTCTTTTTTAGCCTGTGCCGCGCTCGTTTATTCCCCTCGATCCGGCTGAACAAAAGCTGCTTAGGCATGCGGTGGCTGGGCATGCGGGCTACATGAGCCAGCCAACGCAGCCTTGCCTGCCAGAGGAATACACCGATGGGACTTTGCCCAGATCGTTCAAGGATTTGTGAGCTTCTCACACAATCCAGCCTGGTGAAACCCAGAACGGACAGAAAATATGGCATCTGTGCAAGACCGCCCTTTCCTGAAACTGCATTGGGGCTCCGCAAGCCTCTCCTCAGCGTGCCTTGCAAGGCGATGTTGAATAATCCTTGTCAGGACCTTTCCCGGCACACTGAGGAGTGAGATGCCCCTGTAGTTGTTCCAGTCTGTGCGGTCCCCCTTCTTAAAGAGGGCATCCTTCCAATCCTGCGGAACCCGTCCAGTGGTCCAGACTGTTGTTATGATGTCATGTAGGGTAGTCTGTGCACAAAGGCCACCCTCCCTCAGCATTTCACTTGGGAGATCACCTCTGCCCGGTGCCTTTCCTAGTCTCAGACTCCGGATCGCCTTCAGTACTTCCTCAACAGATGGCACCTCAGCCAGCCACTCACCGGGGGTGACTTCTTCTTCCAATATTTGAGGCACCGCAGCCTCAGCAGGGTCATCCCCACTTTGTGCCATGATGTTTTCCTCCAGAACCTCATAGAAATGCTCAGCAAATCTGGAAACCTGTTCCTGGGGGTCGGAGATTGGATCACCGTTTTTTCCCTAATGATGGTCATAGGTGTGGTGCTGCAGATTACTTTTTTGATGGAGTTAAATAGGGATTTGTGATCGCGGGCCACTGAGGCAGACTCCATCTCCTCAAAAACCCGCGACCACCACCCATCCTTGCAGCGCCTCACGGCTCTCTGAACCTCCGAGCGAAGGCTGCAGTAAGCCTCCTCATTCTCTGATGTGGGATGCTGTAGACGATTAGAGTGGGCCTGTCGCTTTTTTTCAACCATTCTGTACACCTGCTCTGTCAGCCAGGGTCTCTGGAGAGGTCTGAACCGCGTACCCATAGCAGCCATTGCAGCTGAATGAGTCACAATCCTAAACCTCGTCCATTTACCCCTGACATCAGGAGGAGTGGAGGACGATGCCAACCCCAGCTGCAAGCTATGATGAAATTCTCGCTTGCAACTTTCATCAGCTGAGACCAGGCCACCTTATTTTGGAAAAGAGGGGTTAGCGACTATCTGGAAATCTCCGGATTGACAAAGGGCATATGACCCCGACCCTCCCAAACGTTCTGGACAGTTCATCAATAAATATGCAGGGCCAGAGGAAAACACACACGCTCAGAGCAAATACAAACAACCTTACAACACGCATCTTCTTTAACGATAAAGATTTGAAACTCAGCAAAAAGAACAAATCCGCATTGTAGGCTGGCAGTCTATATCAGTGGTTTTATCATCGTTACTTATTTTATTTCACCTTTATTCAACTCATATATTATTTTGTATGGCATCTTTCTATCTATGCAACTTCACCAAATGTACCAAATACACGAGCCCCTGCCATCACGAAAACGTAAGTCCAAGCTAAAACTATTCCTCCAGCATCAAAATATAACTCAAAATAAAATACCAATCCTTGGAGACACAGACTTATAACAAAGCTTGGCAAAACCCCCAAAATAATGACGTAACGAGGAGCATTATGAATATTGATTAAACATAAACCGAATAATAACCACGATATATTAAGACCGTGAGTAACTCATAAGAGATACAAGAAAATAGGTTAAACACACAAGACTAGATAATATGTATTCCATGAAATCAGAGCCTCCCCGGCCACCTTTGTCTTCCAACCATTCGACACAAACACATGGAGGGTGTGTGGACTCGAGATAACAAACACTAAGAGGGGGGGGGGGGGGGGAGTCAAGGCGGCCGCGGAGAGAGGATGGTGAAGGAGGACATCTGTTTTTTTTTCTCGCGGCGGACGTGCAAGAGGCGAGGGGAGAAAAACAATACATTTCTAAGTATGAACACGAGTCACAAATCGTCAGTCTTGCTCAGTCTTAGGACTCGGCTTTCGACGCAGCTTTGCGAGGGAGTCTCGCGAGGGAGCTGGGGCAGAAGCTTGCCAGCCGGTACCGACATCAACAATGGGTGTCGTATCTCGCAGAGAGAAGGGACGAGGTGTCGTCAAGAGCTGAGTACGGCATGGGCCGACAGAGCATCGCTGAAAGTTTTATTCTACAGTATCCTGATGTGTTGAGTCGCTCGTAAAGTCAAGGATTGCGATAAGTTGATTGTGCTATGTTTTCACAGTCGGCTAAGAGGTGTGCGAATACAATTAAACATTTTGAGAGTGAACGTCATCCAGCAGCAGGAGTTGCGCTGACGAGCAATCAGCCTCGAGAAAGGGCGGAAAGCACAAACATCGACCAAGCCAGCACCACAGAAAACGCAGAGCCGCGCCGCCGAGCGCCGCCGAGCGCCGCCGAGCGCCGCCGAGCGCCGCCGAGCGCCGCCGAGCGCCGCCGAGCGCCGCCGAGCGCCGCCGAGCGCCGCCGAGCGCCGCCGAGCGCCGCCGAGCGCCGCCGAGCGCCGCCGAGCGCCGCCGAGCGCCGCCGAGCGCCGCCGAGCGCCGCCGAGCGCCGCCGAGCGCCGCCGAGCGCCGCCGAGCGCCGCCGAGCGCCGCCGAGCGCCGCCGAGCGCCGCCGAGCGCCGCCGAGCGCCGCCGAGCGCCGCCGAGCGCCGCCGAGCGCCGCCGAGCGCCGCCGAGCGCCGCCGAGCGCCGCCGAGCGCCGCCGAGCGCCGCCGAGCGCCGCCGAGCGCCGCCGAGCGCCGCCGAGCGCCGCCGAGCGCCGCCGAGCGCCGCCGAGCGCCGCCGAGCGCCGCCGAGCGCCGCCGAGCGCCGCCGAGCGCCGCCGAGCGCCGCCGAGCGCCGCCGAGCGCCGCCGAGCGCCGCCGAGCGCCGCCGAGCGCCGCCGAGCGCCGCCGAGCGCCGCCGAGCGCCGCCGAGCGCCGCCGAGCGCCGCCGAGCGCCGCCGAGCGCCGCCGAGCGCCGCCGAGCGCCGCCGAGCGCCGCCGAGCGCCGCCGAGCGCCGCCGAGCGCGATCGAATGTGCCGTGTGTTCGACCTCACACCGACCTGCACCAGCTGGGAACCAAGACATCCAGCAGCGGGCGAGCTGTGCGCGCGATCTGATGACTGAATCATCGCGCACCACCGACAGCGAGCACCGTGCCGACGCCGCTCATCTAGCAGTGGAGAGAGAGAAGCCGCTGTTTGTATGCCCCTCCCCCACCCCACAAGCTCACGATACATCGCCCGGCCTCTCCTTAAAACAAAGAATTTATCACGGGGACAATACCGTTAACTGGTCGTGAAGACATTGGTGCTCATTGAGTGATAGGAATACGGTCGTTTATAAGTACATTAGTCGTTATATTTATTTTATTATTTTTATAAAATAACCAATATATTCATCGATGCAATCTAAACTTTTGAAACATTCGTTACGAATCTACACGCTCACAGGGAGAATATTGTGTTAAACCTTTCTTTTTAACATCGAATATTGCCCACGAATTAATTGAAGCTTAGCCACCGCTGCACACCATTGTCTCAAAGCATTTAATTAATTATATAATCTTGTCAAATAATCTATTGACGTATATCTTATTGGTTCTTTCGGTAAAGTCACGTAGAAGGGAAATAATAAAATAATAAAAATAAAACATAATAAGATACAATTCCACGACGTTTCGGCCACAACGGAAGCAGCCGTCCTCAGGTGAAGAACAGGTCTGTCAGAAAGACA